CAATCTTAAAATTGAATTAACTAAAAAGAAAAAGATAATTAAAAATCGTTGTTATAGTAACAATAATAAAAATGAAAAATTGTCGCCTTACATCTCATCTATCAACTTCCTTCTATTATAAATACTATCAGCATGAGTGTTATCCCTTTAACTATATTCACACGGCTCCTTCTTGTTTTTTCTTTCTATATAATTATATGCATATCTATTCACTTTTGCTACCTTAACATTGATTATAAATTTTAAAAAAAAACTGATGACACGTTATAATGGCAGATAATAGCTGCAGTAATTACAGAAAGAAAAGGCCAATGTTTTTAATAGAAAAAACGCATATTGTTGTGGGATATAATAATAGTACTCTTGAGTCTTTCTTAAACCAAAACATACATTGGATGGAAATTGTTTTCTTCCTGTTTGCATGCGTTTTTTTTTGGAAAATAAAAGAGATAAAAACCAATGCCTGTCTCGCTATTCCATCTGTTGTTTGCGTGTGCTCACATAATCTGTAATACACTTAAGGCTTTCTATGGCTCTTCTTTTTTTTTTCTTCTTTTTTGTTACCACAACAACAGAAATTTATTGTCGCTTTTTTTTTCTTTTTCATCATATAGTCTTTTTGCATGATGCTAGTTTGGTACGATTAGTAACTAACTCATCCACACAGTTGATTGAGCACATGCATTCTATTCTTTTCATGTGTCCTTATCACGCATCAATACGAGTCTTATTTACTGCTCGTGTTGTTTTCTTTTATTCTTTTTCGGTGGAATCGACATAGAGCAAAAAAAAAGAAACCAGAAAAAAAAATGATGATAGAACGGAAATTACGATATTTCATTTTATGAAATATCGACCTTGACATATTATCTAAACTTTTTCAAAGATTAACAACAACAAAACAAAGATTTCTATCAGATGTTAATTAATCTAATAAACATTAATTTAATTAATAGACGACAACAAAAAAAAAAAACAATAATATTTAAACTTATATTACTATTATTAATAATGTAAAAACAAAAAAACAAAAAAATTTTATTCAAAAACTAGAAAACAAACATCATCGATATAATCCTAATTTTGTTCACGTTCAATTTGCATTTGAACACTTTTAATAACATGTATTCGATTGAATTCTAATACTTTATTTAAACTTATTTTATCACGATATTGTATACGATATGCATCTGTTTGTCCATATCGATAACAATTAAGTATTCGACCATATTGTGAAAAATATTCAAGTAAATTATAATCATTAAGACGGTAAGGTACATTACGTACAAGTAGATAATTGTCACATTCAGTTAATTTATCATCATTATCAATAAATATATTTAATACACGTCCATTTAAACAAAAAGCACGTTTTAATAATAATTTAATACTATCATTTATATCAAATAAACCTAATATATATGTTTGTCCATAACAATTTTTATGTATTGTAAAATTTTTTAAATTAGAAAAATAAAATTGAAGATTTTCTTGATCTTTATTTAAAAAATTTCCAATATGTATAAGTCGTGTTAATGATAATAATGGAAGAATTTTTGATGAATTATTTCGTGGACAATATCGAATTGAATAATCATTTAATTTTTGATTTGTTGATGCTAATGCACGATGTGCATCATTTATTTGATGAAATTGAATAAATGCATAATTACGTGATTTATATAAAACACAATTAAGTACACGTCCAAAATTTTTTGATGTATATTCATATAAATTATCTTCAGTTATAGAAGCATATCTATCGATTTGTACACAAATAAATTTTGGTCCATATAGAGGATCACTACCTAATGATGTACTATCAAAGATAAGAAATATCTTTTTGTTTTTGAGAAAAGTAGATTTTTGTTTTGTATTTTACTTTATTCGACAATTTTGAATGAAATGTGGACGATCATTGAGAAAATTAGTTGCTGTTACAATAGATGAAAATAAAATATGTATATATTGATGATTATTTCGATTTTTTTTACGAAAACAACGAATATTTTTATCATATTTTTTACAATATATTTCGACTTGTTTAGTTGTTAATGTTGTTACATTATGTATTACGACAAGAGGATGTTTTTGATTGTCGTTTCTATTATTCATTTCAATGGAATTGTATAATTATATAAATAAGATAAATTTTGAAAAAGAAAAAGATAAACAAATCAAAGAATCATTGGTTATTAGATAAAACCGTTCTATATTATTCAAATAATCCGCATAATATCTGCTTATTCATGCCATCTTCCGAAAGACTTTTACTTTACAAAGTAGATGTCGTGTGAACGAAACTGATGTTTGCATGAGATTAAAGAGGAAATCTCTCCAAATACTTCCTTCCGATTTTAATGATTTTTTTTGCCTATAGATATTGCATGATAGTCTAATAGAAATCTAAAATGGATTTGGATTCCTATTGAGATTTGGAAAGCTATCGAATTTTTAACATGTCTATCTTCTAGAACTCTTATTTTCGAATTTTAATCTGAAATTTTGTTCACATAGAGAACTCAACTAGACTATAAAAGCTTGGTCTAGCTGACTTCTCTATATCCCATAAAGTTTCAAATCAAAATTCAAAAACATGAGTTTTCCGAAAAACTGAAGGTTCTAGCAAAAAAATTTGATAGTTTAATCAAATCTTAATATGAACCCAAACCCTTTTAATGTTTTTATTAGAACACTATATAGTATCTATAGGCAAAAAAAATCACTAAAATCGGAAGAGATTCTCTCATATATTTAGTTAAGTCCATCAATCCTTACTATAGTTATTTTCTATGGATAATACATATTACTATCAAAAGTTATCGCTGGTTATTTAAATTACTTAGAAACTGAAAAAATGTCATCTATATTTGTGCCAGTATAATAATTGTTAATGAATAAAAAAATATATTTCAGTAAAAAGAAAAAAAAAAACTTTCTAAACTGTTTCTAATCTCATTGAATTTATATTTAATTGTGTAAGATTTTTCAGTAACAGAAAATATAAAAATTTAGAGATTGTTGAAAAGATTCAAACTTTGTCAGCATTTTTTAAAGTTATGTATAGATTTATTAAAAAACTAACATTGAAATATTCAATATAAGTGAAACATATATTGATAACATTAAAAGAAAATTGTCTTGAATATAAATATCAACATTCTAAGTTGGGTTAAACTATTCTTTAAAAAATAAATTGAATACGTTGCATAAATCAAAATATAAATTTATTTGAAAGTAGTTTATTAATTAAATTTTCAAATACTTCTTGTGAAACAAGTCCATTTTCTCCAATAAGTAGAACAAAGTATCTTCATTTACATAGATGGATGAGTGATTATCTGACATTTAAAGAACGTAGATTTATCAAGGGTAATCAAATGATTATTGTTCTGAACGAGTCTTAGTTCATAATGATCATAAGAAATTGTCTATTTTTGTCCTAAATTAATGCAATTGGTTTAACTTGTATTACCAGATAAGAGATTTGTCTTTGTCTCATGAATATTTTCCCTAGAGAATAAAGAACACAAGACAATCAAATGATGAATTTGTTTTAGTCATGCTTCAATTTTTTCAAAGCTGTAGCATGTAAAAACTTGAATGTGAAAAAATATTTGAATTACTTTTTCTTGTCGGACTTCTGCTCATTAACGACTATATGGTAGTAGCAATTAGCATCTCCTAAGATACGTTTCGAAATCTGAACAGTAGAGAGCTGTGAGTTCGGATCCACAATTGTGTCCCTACTCAATAGTTTTCATTGATAAATAGAAGAGATTGAATGTTATTACAATTAGTCGCATCATAGAAATTGAAAAGAAAACTAAGTGCACGTTCTATTCTAGAACCAATGAGAAAATGAAAGAAAACTCAAGTAATCAATTACAAATATTCAATACAATGCATTTCTTTTTAGAGTACTTCCCATGAAACATTAACTAATTCAAATAAAAGATTCGTTCTTCTTGTTATTTATTGTTTTCAAGTTTATTTTGCAAATAAAGATAGAATTTTTGAAGACGTTAGAATATTAAAAATACGGATATTTCAAAAACTATTTTTAACAAGTGAAAACATTTAAATGAACGAAAGTCTTTTGTACAAGAAAATCATCTTCAACATGATAAATGTATATTTTTCATGCATTTCTCTTACCAAGCTTCAGATAAGAGTAGACATCGTTGACTTCAAACAAACAAAAAAATAATAATACTTGAAATTTCTGAGCATTTCGACTTTAGTTTCTATTGCTTCTTAATTCTGAATATTCTATTCACGATAAAACAATTCCTAATACTGAAAACTGAAAAGATTTCTCTCTGAGTCACTCAGTGTAGTCGATGATCAACAAAACAAAATGATTAAATGATGATCATATAAGCATATACGAGTTTTGGTTGGTTTATAAACTTAAATGAGTAATATTTCATCGACTTACACACATGACTCAGTTTTTTTTAAGTCAAAGTAAAGAAACATTATGAAATTACAAAGTATCGTTAAAAATTCGTAATGTACTATTCAAACAATAGAATTGTTTTGTCATAAATAATCTGGTGTATCTATATCAAATTTCATAATTCCTAATATTTAAAGGAAAATATTTTCTTCTCATTTATGATGATTATCACTTTCGAAATGGCAAGCATGAAAATCACACATATGTCAAACTCCCTGAGTTTAAATAAAAAATGAAATACATATTTTTGAGTTTGATCTATTGCAATATTCTAAAATTACAAACTTTCTATCATTGAAATGACTTTAAACATTTGAAAATAATTCTATTATTTATTTTATTTTTTCAAAATATATTGTCATTAGACTCTTGATTTTTCGAATAAGAGTATGAAAATACATATAAAAAATTTACATCATAAATGAAATTTACTAGAATTAAAATCTCTAATGAGAAAACAATATATATATATAGGATTTCTTAGACATACTATTATTTGTATGTTAAATATTACTGAACAATATGTTTATTGTGTTTGTTATAATACAGCAAATAAATATACATTTGGAAATCTTTCAATAAGAAAAATTAAATAATTAACTAAATTATTTTTTTGTCCAATATATGATGGTTTTTTAAATGTTGAATCAAGATTATAATAAATTCCATTAAAATTTTTAATTGTAAACCAATGTTCACCATTTAAATTAATTAATAAACCAAAATATAAATCCCATGGAAGATTTTGAAGTGGTTCATTATCATAAAAATTTATTTGTCGAACAGTATGTCCATGTTTTTTAATAGCTTCAATTAATATACGTAAATCATAATCACCTATCCATAATGTTCCATATTCATTATCTACATATCTTTTATCATATTGGTGGACAATCTTATCGAGATCTTCATGAGTAAATAAATGTGGAGTTTGAAATAGATTATTTAATGCATGAACACCACATCGAAGATATTCTTGTTTCTCATGATAAATAGACTAAAACAAAATATGAATCTTTTTTTTTCTAACGGAACATCAGAAAATTGTTAAACTTCATTAGAGAAAATCGAGTATTACACTCTGATCCAAGGAGAGAATATTACATTTCAAACACATGGATTATTTCAAAATTCTCACCCCATTTATAGTATTTTCTTGTGGTTGTTGTCGAATTTGTTGAAATCGTTGATTATGTTGCCCATCTATCAAAAATTTTCTTGCTGATTCGTCTGCATCACCATAATTATGCACAAGATGTGCATAATAAAGATCGTCTTCTTCAACTATTGGTTTTTTTTGGTCGTTATTCGCAGTGAATTTATCTAAGTTTCAATAAAAAAAAAAACTGTTAACACAATTCCTATGCGATTAAAATGTGAAATACAATGTAGTTGTTTATATTGCAAATGAAAGAATTTATACTAACATATATTTCGGTTTATGAAATACTATCTGCTATTAATTGATAAAAGATCGTAGTAAGACAGAAGAATCTTTAATTCAGTCGTGTTTCAAACGAAAACGAGCGTAGACTTGAATTTCGCATGTATATGTGGTAAGGAAATACTACGGTGTCTGTCACGATCTATGGAAAGGAGTGGATAAGTTCAAATGTCTACCTGTTATATTTTGACACTATTTTCCGATTGTGTTTTACAATATGATGCATTTATACACAGGAAAATTCTGTTTTGTTCTATATTCTTACTTGGATTTTGAATGGATGTTGGTTGAGATAAATTTTTTTCGATTTTTTCATTTGAATTTTGACTTGATTTATTCTTAAAATCTTTTCCATTATAAAAATCTTCTAAAAGATCCTATTCACAAAAATAGTCAGAAAATTTAAAAAAAAAACAAAAATCAATATAATATATTATTTTACTTCAAGTTTCCAATTATATTGATGAAGAAAATGAATACAATCTTCAACATTCAATCCTGTGACACCCTAAGAAATATAAAAAAAAAGAACAATTAATTAGACTTTGTTTTATTGAAAACAAAAAAAAAATTTTTACATGAAAAAAGTGGAGCATACTGTCTCGTGATTGTGTTGAAGGCAAAGTTGACTGTGAAGCTGACATTCTCTTTTCTAAATGATTGTTGTAAACTGATTTCGGTAAAAAAAAAAAATACAAAAACAAGGAAGAAAAAAAAACTAAAGATAAACAATAACTCTTTTTTTTTCTCATTCTGTTTCTCAAGTTTACACTCATAACCACGAGTATTCTACCTGTAGAAAAATAGGAAAAAAAAATTTTTATGTGCAATAGACAAAAACAAAATAAAAAGGATTTTTATTCATCTGTTTTATCTCATATATTAATCAAATATTTGTTATATCTAGCTTCATAGAAAACAAAAAAAAAACTTTGCTGAAATAACAATTGACTAAATATTTATACATACTTTTGCATGAATTGATTAATCAACCTGTAATAAAGAACATGAAAAAAAAAAGAACAAATCTTAAATGGCTAGCAGCACAACGAGAACTCCTGTAAGAATTTAAAGAACATCGAATAATACAAAATTATGTATTTTTGCTTTTAAATTTCATCTTTCTTTTTTAAAATTCGAATGTGTAGTATTAAAGTTATCATTTAAATGCAAAATAAAACAATGGATACATATTTAGTACACTCAATACAATATAAAAATTACATTTTATTATATAAAAAAACTTACTATATCTCTTGTTATAAAAACCGCAAATGTCTATCAACAAACAGATCATCATTGCCATTCTCACCATCGTTATCTAACACTTTCTTTTATGCTTGTGGATTACCGAATAGATAAAATTCTGATGGTGATACTGTTAGTGCAATTCTTGGAGTTTGTTATAAAGTAGTACGATAGTGTGATATTATTTTGTTTTTGTTTTTTTTGTGAAATTGTTACATTACTGAGTTGAATATCACATTTGTATTTCGAGTATTTATAACGTTTGATAAACACGTACAAAGAAAAAATGCCATTGTCTATTAGAGAAACAAAATATTTAAGAAATTCATTAATATTGAAGTAGAGTAATAAAAAACGAAAATTCATTCAGAATAAAAATACTTTGATGCATTGGAATCATTAGTCTATATCAACGTTTAAAACTACTAATGAGAACATAATCGATAATTATCTCCTTTTAGAAATAATCCTTGGACAAAATAATAATTGAGTTCTAATCTAGTGGAAAATTAGAGCTTCTTTTTGCCTTAGTAATATGAGATATAATGAAAAATAAATAGAGAAAGGATTCTCAAGTCTTCATATTTCAGATTAAAAAACAAAAAAATATGCACTTTTTCACTCATGATATCTGATGATTTTTCTTAAAATCGACTACAACTACGTTGAGAAAAGTGAAGCAAACATTTAAGATTCTAAATATATTAGAAAAATGAAACAGTTTTATTTCTATTTTAAAACCTTATCCTTCTTCAACATAACAGAATGTTCATTAAATTATAATTGAGTATAGCACTTATTCTGTAATGAAAATTATCACGATGTTTTTTTTTATAAATGATGCATTATAATACAATCGTTACTTCCCGAACTGCGCACACTTTTAATAAAAATAAAAATGTCTATATCCCAAACTGCGCACACAATTAAGAAAAAGAGAAATATACGTAATCCCAAACTGCGCATACTTTTTAATTAATGTATAAAACATGGACTTACAGAATAGAACAAAAATTAATAATGATAAATGCTACGGCGAATGAATAGCGATATGGCCGGTAATTTATACTGATGATGAATGATGTGTACTAAAAAAATTTTGGGAAGAATTTCGAGAAATTGGGAATAGTCAGAAGAGTGAATTTCCTTAATGAGTGAAATGTAATCATTAAATTTTTGCGAAGCTTTTTGAGAAATTGGGAATATGTTGAAGAGTAACCTTCATTAATATCGCAAATGATTAATCTTGAAGAATATTTAATAAGTGTACGAGCCGTTGCTTATCGCTATATAGACGAACTGTCAACATAAACTTTAATTACTTTTTTTATACATTTATTTCTTTTGTTGTAATTATATTATTGTTCAATATTAATTTTTGTTTCATTCTGTACAGTCCATGTTTTACACATTACTTAAAAAGTATGCGCAGTTTGGGATTATGTATTTTTCGTTTTTTCTTAATTGTGTGCGCAGTTTGGGATATAGATAATTTCATTTTTATTAAAAGTGTGCGCAGTTCGGGAATGAGCCAATACAATACCTGACAGAAATACAGCATAATACAAAATAAAAGAAAAGAGTTCCAAAAAATTAGTAGAAAAGGTCTCATGAATCGTGAAATATAAAAGTATGACGCTTAATAAAAGACAATTACAGAATACATCAGTTGATCCACAAAAAAAAAATCAAAAATATTTGACATTCTCATTTAATCAGAAAAACTAGATACGTCTACAGAAACACCCTATACGTATTACAATGAATGCTATTCAAAGCATCATTATCAAAAGACCCTTTAGACTAAAGTCGATTTAACATAAATCTGTACATCTTGAACAAAACGTGTTTTTTTGAAAAAGACAACACTTTTCAAGTTTTTGAATTTTTGTAGACTTGAATAGAACTTCCATTAATTCTAACAATTAAATAGTTTTTCATGATCAGTAGTCCGCGCTCTATCGAAAAATGTATGAAAAAAGACGAAGAAAAAAAAAAATTTTACTAAACGTTCGAAATGCTTTCACCTTACAATTAAGATATTTTCTATTTTCATGTTGATCTACTATGGTTGCTTGATAATAAGTTGTTGGATAAACATTATCCCAGTTTTTTACTTTCCAAGTGAATAACTTAATCTATCACTCAAGCGTACACTCAATTGAAAATTATTTTGAACAGTTTCATGTTTCACTCAACAACATCAACTTTATTGATGAAAAAAGAACGAAATTATGCGTGACGTTTTGCTGTATTCTATAAATTATCAAGATACGTTAATAGAAACTGTTTGTTTTTCGTCCTCTTCTATAAGATATAATGAAGGATAAACAGGTAAAAAAGAATCTGAATTAATGTAGCAAATGTTTTGAAAATATAAAATATAGTGGATAACTTTGGTTCGCATTCATATGAATGACTGTTGAATATCAATCATCAATTTTCTCATTCGATAATGATGCTGAAGGGTATATACTAGGTCATTCGTTTGTTCCATTACCATATCAACAATGTACTTGATCATTGTCGGTATTGAATTCCCTTAGGTATATAAAATAGAGAAAGTATTGTGACTATAAATCAATGATTGTAACTACCACCAGATTTTATGTGTAAATCAATCCTACAAGGAATACTCTAAGTTATGTTCAAACTTCTAGAACATATTAGAAGAAATAATGGCTACTATAACTGTTTCTGATAACAAATGAGAAAATATGATCTATTCATGACATTGATTATATTTGAATGTTAACCAATAGTTATATCAAGACCTATTGAATAATCAGTATAAGAAGAAACAACTGATGATGATGATGTTGATGACGTACATCTATTTGATCAATAACAATATTGAACATATTTGTAGTATTGCATAGCTTTTCAAATAAGCACTAAACTTCGAATAAAATTTTGATAATTAATAAGCAAATATTGAATTATTACAAAAACAAAAATGTTATATAATCATAAATATATGTTTGAATGAGAACGATTGATCATATAATCGATTTAGATGTACGCGTAACTTTATAAATGATCGTACTATCTTCAAAATATGTTGTGTTAATATCCGTATGAATAGTGACATATACAATAAAGTAGTAGAATATGATATTCTTCAGTATTTCTTTGATCAATGATTGATTGATTTAATCAGTAGTGTATTGCACTTGCATATTGATGTTTGAATATGATGAGTGAAGCATTTCCATGTTTTCGATATATACTCAATCACTGCATATTTATTGTTCAATTTATTTTTTATCAACTTTCACAATAACACATTCGCTTTTTCATTTTCATATGTCGTATTATTCACAAGAAAAAAAAAATATAGAAAATATCGAAAGAATTTTCTTCTAAATCATCAATGTTTATGCTAATTTACACAATAGAAAATGATTTATGATACCTACGTCGGTACATCAATTGATTGTTTTATTCTAAAGAGTTCACCATCACAGAATATATAATACTTAACTAAAATTTAATTTTCAGATTCAAAATGAAATGATTAATATCATAATCGTCACACATATGTACTAATCGGCATAAAATGCTGTCATATATCTAATTGGATACGATTAGTGACTACTTTGTTTTCGTACTCTTATTATTACTTATTGCGTAAAGATGATAGAATGAAAACAACATTTCAATGAGACATAAGAGAATAATTGAGAAAATATATGTTTATCGTTAAAAAAAAGAGAAATGAGTTCGATTTCGAAATAATAATTATTATTATTTTATGATACATATATAATTAAAATATTTGAAGAAACGAAGTCCTCCGACAAAGAAATTACATCTTCATCGAAAAAAAAAAACATCTTTTCTCTTTTATTAAAAAGTTTTCTTTGCATCTATTAAGTTTTAATAGAATTTTTTTTGGTATGTATTACTAATTATATGTATTTTTGTCGATATAGAATCATGCAAAGAAAAGGAAAAGGCATTTTTTGGCATCTAATTTCACACCTATACTGAGAAACATCTGTCTTCTTTTGTTCAAATACATTAGACATATTCAAGTTAACTACATATCAATTGTACATGCTTGTTATTTGATAATAGGATAAGATTGTATTATACCATCACTATCGAATCAACATAGTTTTCATAAATAGGAAGAAAAACATTTGTTATCATAAAAAAAAAAAAAAAAAAAAAAGAAAACTTTCACTTGAAAATCTATTCAAAATATTTCATTCCATAAACTAATTCATACTGACAAGATCATTTCAGATTCTACGATTAGAAGTGATTCTCTATAGATTATAATCAAATGAATTTTAATGAAAACAAAATAATTTTCTTTTTCTGTAAAATATTCTATCTTTTTCAATTCACTATTTCAAATATTCGATTGGCATTTATATAAACATTTAATTTCACTTTAATAAAAATAAGCTGATAAAAAAAAGAAAAATCACAGATTTTTTTTCCTTTTTGTTTTTCGTTGTATACAATATAAAAATTAGATTTGTTTGTCTACAATGTTGACTACAGATGGAATTAATTAGCACTCAAGCAAGAACAAACACCTCAATTGATGAAACAAACGAGACAAGTGTCAGCTGTTATTCTTAAATCGAATACACGTAGCACCGGAAGTATACTATTGCGCTTATCGCTTCTGTTTGCTCATGTCATCATTTAAATGATTGGTTCATTTAACAACATCATCCAATGAAAACAAGAGAAAAGAAAGAATGAACACTTGATGCTAGTCGCCGATATAAATTCCTTCGAGGCATGCGGAGAAAAAAAAAAGAAAAGATCCAATTAAAGCTTTGTACTAATCCTTAAAATATGCGTGTGTCACGAATGTCTAATATACACATACATATTCATTGATGAAAACTAATAGTAATAATCATCTCTTTTCGTTTTTCAAATGACACATCTTCGTTATTAATGATGATTTGATAAGTTAAACTAATTCTTTTTTTGTATTGAACCATCTGTAAAATATATTAGTTTTTTATAGATAATAATTCTAATGACATTGAAAGATTGGTCAAGTTAGTTTGTCTTCAAGCTCAATTAGATATGTATGATGATGATCGGCAAATATATAATGTCTTTGATCTTAGTCTTTTTTTCTTTTTTCGGTAACAAAAGCAAACTCATTTGTTCATTCTATCACATTTTATTAATGTCGACAATAACGATAACAGAAGAACACCTTCTAGTGTGAATATATTCTCAAGAGGGATATGCTGTCAACATTAGTTTTTTTATTGGTTCATGCAAACGAGATGTCTAGGCCACATGGTGATTGGCACGCATATACATGCCGTGCGGCTAAGATACAATCTTCATGCGATGATTACACTACATATTCGCTTCGATAGACCCTCTTAATAGTGAAATGATGTGAAAATGAAATAAAGGAGAAAAAAAAAAGAAGTATTGAAACGACTTCGTCGATTGTATATATATTCATCTATGTCATATAAAACTACTAAGAAAAAGTCATTTATCAATATCTCAAGAGACATATAAATATATATCAACCGTTTTGATTGTTGTTTCGTTTTTTTAATAGTTTTAATATTAGAAAAGATAGATTTCATCTCATAAACAAACTATTTGGAAAAAAATAGCATTTACATTTGATAGACATCTTCCTCTCCATCAACCGAGTGAAAACAGACATGATCGCCTTAAGCTTTTTCTTTTTTTTTTTCTTTGTTAGTAAATCAAACCATTTGTATCATTTGAATACTAATACAATGTCTGATATTTTTCATTTATGGTTTATCATGAGAAATCCAACTGAAAGATAATTGAATTAATTTTATCTTTACTCGTCTGTATCAGACCACTGGCTGAGAATGTTTAATTTTTTTTTTTTTTTTTTTTGTTAACTTCCTATGCGTTCGTTTATACATATAGATGATGATGAACAGCATGAAAGAATTTTTCTCTGTCCCTACTATGTAATTAACATTTACATGAGACATACATTAATTTTTCACTCTTTCAATCTTCCGTTTCTTCACACTCTTCTGTGATTCTTTTTTCTAAATTGATAGACGAGAAAAGATAAAAGAATGATCATCGTCCTCATACAAAAAAAAAGAAAAAAAAAAAACTAACGAGCGAATAGGAAACATCATCTGTTGCACATTGATGTCATTAGTCATTTCCTTCGGCCACAGGCCAGAGAAAACAAAATATAAAACTTATTCGTTGTCATCACTCGATCTTTCTCTGTTCTGTCTCACTATAGATCTAATCAAATATGCGAATATAGAGTTGTTTCTTTCTCTTTTTTCTTTCTTTTTCTTCCTTTTCTTCTCGTCGCATTACTCAGTTGAATGTACTAGACGAGTTGAGACCAAGCGGGCACATACACACACATATATATATATGCATTAGACGAAGCGAGAGTAAACAGGACGGGACAGACCATCATCACTAAATATAATTGCAGTTGTTTTATTGGATGAAACAAGTAGAGTATTGAATTTTCTATTGGTCATCGATCTAATCTTTCATTTTAGTTTCCTATCTATCGTTCTCACTTGAGAAGAAAAAAAGAAAGGGCAAAAAGGAAGAAAGAGAAGCGAACGCGCATGCACACACGCACATTGCATTCATTCATTTCTTCTCCTTCACTGACAAACACACACACACACACACACGCGTTCTCTCTCGTTCTTCCCTGACAGGACAACACGTCATGAAGAATCGACGAGCAAAATCTCACAAAAGTAAGACATTTTTTTTTTTTTATCTTTTATTAATATTATTCATTCCATATGTTTTATATTTAATAGAAAATATAAAAAATGAAGAATATGTTTATATTGAATTAGATACTAAATGCAGGTAAATCAAAATTTTTTGCTATAAAACATAAGAAGAGAATTTTTCTTTTAGTTGTCCACAATCATCTACTAGTGATCATGCATCTATACAAGTATGTTCTCTCTTTATTTTTTTTTCTTTGTGCTATTTATTCAATATTCTTTATTATAGTTCGCTCGTCGTTATCTTGAATGTCAAGGTTCAATGCCTCTTCGAATTCTTCGTTCATATATTGAAAAAGTTTTACCCCATTCACCGATGACACAGGTAGAAAAAAGAAAAAAGAAAGAAATGAATTTTATTCAAGTATTCAATCAAAATATATTGATTTCTTTTCTTTTTTTGTTTTTAGGTATCAATTTATGATTCAAATGATCGATTATTAAATGATTCTATTCGTCTAAAAGATCTTTCATTATCATCATCATTATATATTCCTCTACGTTTTACAATGATGAATACTATAACATCATTTGGTCATTGTTTATGTTTATCTCCATCATCACCTATAAAAAATTCTTCATCATTTTCTCCAACAATAATTCAACGTGAAACAATCAATCGAACATTATCAACATGTCCATTAGTTCCAACACCGCCTCATTCACCATCTTCATCAACATCTAGATCACCAATTCTATCAACAACAAATCCAATGTCAATTATTAATCTATTAACACCACCATCTCCGCCAAATTATTCATCATTTTTAATTGATAATATTGTTGAATCAAATACAAATGATCAATCAATAATTGATAAAATAACATCAGAATTTGGTGAAATATGTCCATCATTACCTATATTAAAACCAAAACGACAACGAATATTTAAAAAACTTATTCCAAAATCATCATCGTCAGATATTCCTCTGGATCTTTCAATAAAAAAACGTCCATCATCATTTGATTTGTTTTCTATACAATCGAAATGGTTAAAAATGATCTAACAGAAAACAAAAAAAAAACGAGATTAGATTTCGTTTGTTTTATTTGACAGTATGTGTGATATTTTTTTGTTTTTATTATTGTCTGTAAAAATACATAATGCAAACAAACTACACCTAGAGCTCAATTGGCTTGTTTCATTCATTGAAGAGGATGTGTTAAGACACAAAAAAAAAACGAGAAGAAATGAAATGAATAAACATATTAAATTTAGTGTCCTGCGGAGATGGAATATATTTTTTTTGAAGACAATGAACCGTATTGTATTATGTATGAAAGGTGCTTTCAGATGCCGATAGATTCGTTTGATGTTTTTTTTATGTTTTTGAACAAGATAAAGTGTTAGAAATAATTGTTATTTTAAAATCAAATTGAAAGATTTCCATTTTGGATATTTGTATTAAATCATAGTGAATAAAAAAATTTAAAATGCTGATGCAGTTGAACAGCTTCAATTCAAATAATAACATTTCATATATTTGTTCTTTACTATTCAGTAGATTCAAATGAAGGTATATGTGTGTGTGTGTGTGTGTGTGCGTGATAAAAATTTTGTAGAAAAGAAAAATGAATATAGTTTTAATAAAATAGAGCTTAAATTATGAATTTTATTTTCTAAATTCTCTTAGCTTTATAGGAAATTTCTACTATGATTAGCATGAAAAGTTTTATCTGATATAGTAAAATTTGTTCCTTTGTTCAAGATTTATTACCTCTATCAATGATTATCATAGTTCTTCTATGGCGATCATTGTGATATTATCAAAGATCATCAAAAAAAAAAAAAAAGTTATAATTTCATTTTTTATAAATTCGACTGAGTCTATTTTAACAAAGTTTTATTAGGGTAAATAGAACTTCTTAATCAAAGAACTTGTTTGATTATTAATAGGCGAAAGAATATCATGTTTTAGTATTAATTTGAAACATTGTTTAGATAACGATTAGAAGTCTAAAAAATAACTTAGACATTCTTCTTTCATAATTTATTTAGTTCTATTCAAAAGAATCCGTTATATTTCAAATGTTACTAATTTTTCTTTAAAATGTTTAATCTGACATTTAAGGAAAATAGGCTTTTGTATAAACACAATTGAAGACAGTAAATTTTTGAAGCCATTAAAAGCACACATACTTTTTCAATGACATTAGGCAACTTTTTTTTTTAAATAATAAGAAAAATCATTTCATAATCTTGAAAAGAAAAGATTTTTTTAATAGCATTTTAATGCTTCAACATTCTAATCTGTCTCTAGTAGTTTTTTTTTTCTTACATCAGACTAAATGAAACGTAATAATGAGAAAATAAGTATTGCAATTAAACATTTAAACGTGTTCTTTTATACAATTATGATAAGATCATTGAAATCGAAAGGGGACATCTCCAGCGAAGGTGTTATATTGTGTTTGATTGATGTAGTAGTTGAAAAAAAAGAAATGTTTGCTTCATTGATTTTAATTCATTCAATCTATTAAATGAAATTGACGGTAAGCAAAAAAAAAGGACATGTCGCTAATGAATTCTCAGCATGCATTTAGAAAAATTTTTGTGAAGTTGTGTAATATTCTGAATGAAATTTAGATTTGTTGTTATATTAGAAATTTTCCAGGACAAAAAACTTTGTATTTTTTAGAATGAATATCCAATAGTATAAATTGATAAATCTTATCAGATTAACACTTGAATGTTTATGATTTAACGCTAACTAACGAGAGAATACATCCAACTGTTGAACATTGTTCGACTTCATATTATGGCTACGAGTAGGTCTTGATAAGACTAAGACAAGTTTTAAAAAGATTCGGACTCATGGACTAATGATAAAAAGTTATGGACATTTTAATGAAATTTTTTCCGAGAGCAAAACATTGTCGAAAAATCAAAAACAAAGAGTTTCTACTTGAAGTTTGACCTATAGACACTTTTGATAGTCATTAGATTGCCCTGAACGAAAATGAACATGTCTTTTTCGAGATATTCGTTTAGTTTCAAAAAGAGCAGCAGTTTACCGTACGAGGACACAATAATCAAGCCTACTTAAAAACCGAATATATCAAGAAGGACATGTCAGTTTTCGTTGATAGGCAATGTCTTGTTCTTAGGAAGAATTTCATTAAAACGTCCATAACCCTTTATCAGTAACGCAAGGGCTCGAAAATTTTTCAGCTTGTCTTCGTCTCACCAAAGCCAATTCGTAGCCATAATCAGAGTTCTCGGTTAAGAGAGGTAGAAGGGCTCTCCAAAGTGTCCAACTTATTGCCAATTTTATACAACTTCATGGTAATTTTAGACAGGAATCGGATTTTAAAATACCATTTGCCTCTCTCTAGCAGATACTGGAATAAAAATAAGCAGACAATGTTATTGCGTGGTGAATAGGTTTGAAGAGGAACGACCGAGTGACAGGTCGTTTGTTGTGGGAGGCGCCAGGTCATAGTGGGTTTCGTTCTTTCCATCTACTTTCTGTTCCCAATTATCATTTCTAACTAGAGCCTATTAGATCCAAGAGTTTTCGGATCTGGACCCGATGAGCTCTATTTCTAACACTCCGAGGATGAAAACACTTTTTAGTAATATTTTCGGACTCTGTGCCAAATTTTTAGTCCCCCTCCTCATAAAAAATATCGATAATCCTGACCATAATATAAAGTCGAACGGTGTCCGACAGTTGAGTATGTTCCTCTTAAGAGAAGAATATAGTTAAGACCAAAAAAAAAACAAATATCAAGTTTATCACAAAAGTTCTTTCAAATAAAACAAAAATAGAAGAAAATACAAAGATAGGTAGGTATACTATATGTATAAATATATGCATGCAATCACAATCAAAGAAAAACTTTGAATATATATAAACAAAAAACAAAAACAAAGGTACAAGTAAAATAAACTACTAATAGTCAATAAATTGTTTTTCTTATGAATAATATTCATATTCACGATGACTTGATGATGGTGATGGTGGTGGCGATGTTGTTAATTTACGTTTTTTTGTTAATTGATCTGAAGATGAATGAAAAAAATCTTCAGCTGTTTGTGAATGAATTAATATATTATTAGATGATAGACGAAGTATTAATTCATTATGAAATAATTTTTGATTTTTTAATAAAATATCAAGTTTTTCTTGTGTTATATCAGCTAATTGTCGTTTTGTACGTTCTAAGTCTATTCGTAAAGCACATATTTCAATTTCTTTTGTTTTTTTATATCGTTCAAATTCTTCTTCAAGATGTTCATATTGAATATTTAAATAATTATTATCTATTTCTTCACCTTCTTTTTCATCATCACTATCACATTGTTTATCAATCAATGCCTAATTAATACAAAAAAAAATAAAAAATAAAACTTTTAAAGAAAAAAAAAATTCAATAGAATATTCATTTACAATTTCGGATGAATCTTTTTCAAATTTTTTAGTAGATGAAGATTTAATTGTATCTGTTGATATTTTCATAATTCGATCATGTTGTTCATTTTTATTTGAATGTCGATGATTATTATTTGTATTTAATCGATGATGATGATGATGATGATGATGATAATTATTTCCACGTAAATAATAATTATCTAGACTATCTTTTTGATCGGATGGAACAAATTTAGTTACAAATATTTCTTTATCTCGAATATAATGTGGTCGAGCAAGTAAAACACGATCAACAGCATCATAATCCTAGGATATTTATTATTTTTAGTTTTTTTTTTTTTAAATTAAATACAATGAAAGACTAACCTCATAATCAATAAAACCATAATCAATATCAATCTTTTTAACAAAGCCAAATTTTTGAAAATAATTTCGAACAAGATATTTATCATATTTATTTAAATCTTGTAGAATTAATCGATTAGTAACAATAAGTCGTTCAGGTACGGATGAAGTTGAACGTGGTAATGCTCGTTTAACAAATACTTCTTCACCACATATAAAATGTGGTCGACTAGACATAAATTGTGATATATCACGAGTATATTGAAAAGTAACAAAAGCAAAACAATGATAAATCTTTACAATATTAACAAAAACAAAAATAACATTAGATTATAAACAAAAATAAAAAATAAAAAAATAATTTACATTATTCTCTTTATCTCGATTTAATGATAATTCTGTTAATGGACCGTATGTTTCACAATATGTACGTAGTGCTTCATTTGATACATTACATAAATTTCCAATAAATATTTGACGACTAAAATCGATTATGAAGAATATTTTATAGATTTTGAAAATTATTTATTTACACTTACTCGCTCATTATTTTGTCTTATATCAACACAAAAAACTTTTTTTTATATTTTATCTAAAATAATAACATGCAATGTTCTTCTTTTATTTTTGTTCATATCAAGTAATTATTGTCGGTTGTATAATAATCTCAAATTTGATTTACTGTGTTTGTTATAGTTAAAAGTACATTAAGAAAATGACAATAGATAGAAGAAATAATAATAAGACCTCGATGAATATGTAGACGAAGTAAAGAAAGAAAAGTGATAATAACATACGAACTGTGTAGTGTATTCTAACGTTCTTCATTTACATCAAAATAACATATAAAGAAAAATCATGTGCGTATTCCATGTGCACTTTATACCAAATATTTAAGAATAAATGAGAATAAAAAAAATTTAATAATATTTTAAAAAGAAAGATTTAATCATTATTGATCGATTGATTTCAGATAGAAGAAGAACAGTATAATTAATATTTTGATTCGAAGCGACATCTAAGCTTTTATAAAATTCTATATATTAGAAATAAATTATAATTAAATTTTGAAAGTTTTTGATATAATTCTTCGAAGATCAAAATACAACCTGATTGTATTGTGTTACTTCCACAGACAAAAAACATTTTTATTAGTTATATTTTTTGCATTTGTCTTAAAACAAAATTATTTTGGATTTGAATAGCTATCTTCAAAAAGAAATATTCAACGGGTTTTTTTTTGCTTTAAATTAAACTTCAGTATCAAAAACATATGTGACATTGAGTTCAATCAATAGATGAACATTTAATTCAATTGCAATACAAAATATCACGAATTAGTTCTGTATTGATATATTCATATCTTCAATAAGATCAATTTATCAAGGTATACTAATAAAATAATGCACGAAAAACAGATTCAATATGATAGTTGGATAAATATAGTTTATTTGCAATATTATTGATTGAATAGAAATGTAGTTATAATCATATCAATATTAGTTGAAAAGATAAATACCAGTCTGTCAAACATTCAAGTTGATTTATAAGTAAGAACAGAGTTGTATGCTTAATTTTACTTTCGATTTAGGTATTTACCAAAACGACAAAATGAGTTCTTCCTTTTATAGATTATTGTAAAATACTATAATAGGATCAATATTGAAAATAGTTATAATTCTTATAGTTTACTGTACAAACTCAAATCACTACTGTGCAACGAAGATATATATATATAAAAGTCAGCGGGAAATGATAAGACTAATGAATGTACATATCAATCTACTGAAAATAAACAAGAGCACATGTAGCGTAACTTTTTGCCAGAAATATTCATGAATGTTTTAAAAGCCCTTTTCTTAATATAAACTAATATGTATATCGATAATTACTTTGCTTACATATGATGTGATCATTTATCTTTATCTCTTATTCTTCTTTCTTATTCTCTTTTATTTAATCCTGTATTCTATGTGAAATAGACAAAACTGAAGTTGCCAGTAGCTCTACTACTATAGTTCATCATTGTTCTATCAAAATTAAGCAAATATAGCTCTAGTACCCAAGAAATTCTGTCTTAATATAGAATTTCAATATTCATTGAACTTTGTGATCTTTGTTACAATTGTATTTCTAAATTTCTTTTTGAATTGAATGACAGAATGCATTCGAAACTGTAATAATGGAAGACTTTAAAAGTCCTAAATCAGATAAGAAAAACTTTACAAATGCACAGCTAAAAAAGATATTTCGTAGATTTTTCTTTACAAGTAAAAAATTTCATAATTCATCTTTTAGATTTACAAACTTTGTCGATTGAACTTTATTAATAGTGGGTTGCAGAATATTTTGTTGATCGTTAGAAAAAAAAATATCAGGAGGACATATACAGTTCGCTTTTCTATAGAAAAAAAGAGCTCTTATGCTGCTTTCATCGAATCAGCGAAGACAATTTCAATAAGATTCTTCGAGTCTTCTAACACAGAGCAGTTACTCTGTTGCACTCAACTCAGTATATGGTAAGTGGAAATTAAGTTATACATATGGAAAAACACACATTTTTAATTGAAGCTACAAAAGAATTATTGATTTTGTTTTTTAAACAACAATAGAGATCTTTATGAAAAAAATGACTTAACTATCATATCAACGATTAATAGATTCATTTATTTGAGTTCGAATACTGCAATGATTAATCTTTGATTATCAACGAAAAAGGAAAAAAACACCATTTCAGTCAACTTCAAATATCAGATATAGTAAAACAAAAACCTAATAAAAATAAAAAAATAAAAAAATCAACTATTAAATCAATGATGATCTCCTTTTTTATCATACAGAATTTGATCAATAACAATAACAAGTGCTAAAATAAATATTTGATCTTCATTTGCTGCTATTTCAACACCATAAGTATCAGCTAAAGAAAAAAATGCTTTACTTATAGTTGCTACTACTTGTCCTTGTTTTGTTAATACAAATGAATGAGCAAAAATGTCAAGTCCTTCGATAGCATATTGACCATAGGCAGATTGGATATCAAATTTTTGATGAAGAAATGAAAATTTCTTTTTAATATTTGCTAATGGTCGATCTGAATCACCATCACGAGCTGATAATATATTGTATGTAGGATGAAGATGAAATATTTCTTGATGAATTTTAAGTAAGCCGCTATAAATAAGAAAAGAAAGAATGAAGATAAAATTTTATACTTAAATTAACTATAACAATGTTATCCTATCGTCAACAAGACAATTTCTTCGAAATTTTAGTAGCATTTTTATTCTTTCAATATGGATTATCTTTGAATAAATTAGAGGCATAAATTCGCAAGTGGAATTGAGTACTATATTTATAGCTCCTATCCATTTCAAAAAACATAATGTACTCAACTGTTTTTTTGAATAGCTTTTGATAGGAACATTATAGAGATCTATGGTTTTCACCATGCAAGAGAGAAGATTTGGAGCCGTCGAAGTATATCGAAATTTGATTGATCGTCTCCTGATCAATCAGGTGAGTTCTTGGTGAAGATTTTCGAAAACGATATTCTGAAGCTATTATCCTTTCGATTCAAATTTTGAATAGAACTACTCGATAGAAAAAATTCTTTTCTTTCAATCTACACAAGATCAACATTCATAGTTTGTTTCGTTCGAGAGTTTTACGACTTTTTCTGAGACTACCGTATTCAATCAATTGACCTATGATCATCCGGAAAGTAGCTAGGCAGAGGTAATCCACCATGCTGAGTCGAATAATGATATTTGTTTTTTGATTCAAATTGATGTGGCTCTGTTATCTCAATATTTCTGAAATTCCACAATTATTCTCCAGTTAACGAAGAAGTCGACATTTCAGAAATATCGAGAATAAGAGTGTCAAATAATTTTGAACCTAATAACAAATATCATCATTTGACTCACGAGGGAAGATCTCTAAGTGATCCATTGCTTTTAAGTTGTGACTATGTACATTATGTAAGCTATAATGAGTTATGAAAACCCTGGAGCAAGTTTTGGGGCTGTAGCTTATTGCTACTGAGATACTGCATTTTTACGATATTTTCTAAGCACACCACCACGATTCCTCATGAACATGAGAAAAACTGATTTTGGAATTTTGACTTGAAGCTTTATATAGTGACAGGTCTCAGTGAGAATAGTTTATTGTGAAAGTTTCAAATCTCTTGATTGTTTCTATCCTAGGATACAGTTACGGTAAAAGTATGCTTGTACATCGCTTCTACACATTGGTAGATTCCAAGGTTCTTATTTCAGAATAGGAATAATCAGAAGATCTAAAACTTTCACAATAAACTATTCTCACTGAGGCCTATCACTATATAAAGTTTCAAGTCGAAATTTCAAACTCAGTTTTTCTGATGTTCGTGAGGAGGATCATGGCGCTGTGCTTAGAAAACACTGCAATAATGCAATGGCCCGAATTCTTTTCAGGGTATGCATAACTCGTTATGACCTGCATAATACATATAGTCTTGACTTAACAGCAATGGATCCCTTGAAGACTTTTTCTCGTCAGCATGATGAATTACCTCTACCTAGCCATCTTATCGGATGATCAATTGACTGAAGTCGGAAATTTCAGGAAAAGTCGTATAGCTCTCAAATGGAACAAGCTAGGAATGCCGGTCTTGCATAGATCAAAAGAGCGATGTTTTTTCTACCGATTACTCGTATTACAAGTCTCAATTAAAAGGAAAACAGCTTCAGAAGATTGTTTTCGAAAATCTTCATCAAGAACTCACCTAATTGATCAAGTGATGATCAATTAAATTTCGATATACTTTGATGATCTCGGATCTTCTCTTTTGAATGGTGAAAATCGCAGGTCTTTATCATGTTCCTATCGAAAGTTATTCAAAAAATAGTAGAGCACATTATCTATTGAAATGGATAATAAATATCTGTATAGACATAATAACTAATTAATCTATTTTGTTCTTTATAAACTGTATGAAAATGATATTTTTGTTCATATTCAAACTCTACCAGTCTCTATATATAAAATGTTGGATTCTTTTGTTTGATAAGAATATTATCTATTCTATTAAGTAAAAGAGGTTTTGATGACTTACTTTCCAGCCATGTCTTCAAGAATAAGTTTGTTGCCAAATGAAAAAATTTTGGATCGAACAGTAAATACATCTCGACCTAATTCATCTTTAATTTTAAAATTATCACCAAGTGAAAAGATTTTTTCTCGAATTTGATATCGATAAACAGTTACTGGCTGACTATTTGGAACTACTGGTGAATACGAAGGATACGCAGGATACCCAGGATACGCATTAGCCATGGTAGAAAATATTTTATATGAATAGAATTGTGACTCGCAACTCTAATATTTATTGATGATAAGTCTCTAATGGTTGTTGTGACTCTGTTTATGATGATGACTATGATAGAGCATAGTTACGTAAATATAGATAAGATGATAGCATTGTTGCTTACGTATTTCTTTTGATACTCTAAGTCAACAGTGACAATGGTAAAAAAGCGAAAGAGTGTATAAGAGAAAACACAGAACAAAAAGATTTTTATCAATATGTTGATATCTGTTTGACTCATAACACTGTTTTTTATGATATCTGTTGGAAAAACAAATACTAGTTTTCATAATTGAGATCTTGCTAGATTTCTAGCAGAGAGTTCATTGTGACGGGCATCATTTTTAGAGCCACTTTAAACTTAAATCTCCGCAAAGTCAACTATGAAATAAATCGAGATGGAAACAAGTACCGTATAAGAGCACATATCTATGCCTGGCTATATCTTGCCTAATGAAATATTTTTTAGTGGTATTTTCAAATTTATATTATTGTTCATACGTAAGTGTTGACACATGAATATAGTGCAATAAATATGAGAAAAAAATTTCTGCAGTGCGATCACTCTGGACTCGCCGAGAAGACTTTAGAATGGTAACTACTTCCATGACTATCTTGCGACCATTTCCGTCCTTTGAGCCACCTCCACCTTGTTTTCTAGGCTCGGTGTATATCTCTGTCTTCTGAATTGCTTCTCGAAAAAAAGTATTTGAGTTAAAATTTAAATGACTAGCAGAAAAGAAACAGAAAAGAATGATTCATGACCAAATGACTGGATATCGTTTGATTATAATCATGGTTGTCTTTGATGCAAACTTTGAATTTCTCAAAATGATTATATTAAGTCTAAGAGGTTTCTTTATGAAAAATTTCAAGACTAGAAATACTCGGTAATACAAACTACTTGGATATATGCAATGAGTTCGTAGTTTTTTTGTTTGACCAAAAAAACATTTAATTATTGTAAAATTTAATGATAAGATTATATCTTTCCTTTTTCAGTTTGATAAATGAAAGTACTCTAATAATCGTTTGAATATTTTTTTTATCAATGTGAATGCATTAGAGAAAAATGAAACTATTCCGGATCAAACTTCGGAGTATTATATACATTGTGATGGATGTTTTATTAACAACATTAGTATAAGAATATGCAAGAGGGAAAAAACTGATGTTTCTGCTGGAAATCATTAAAAACCACAAGAAATCATTAACATGGGTTCAGGATACGATTAATGACTGGAAGCGGTTTAAAATTTTTCGAAACCATCAGAAACCATTGTAAATCACAGAAAATCTTCAGTAATAAGATTAAAAATAATGCTCTGGTTTCTAATGATTGTTATTGATGAACAATGAAAAAATAAAAACTGATTTTCAGTAATAGAAATTGCTAGAAATTATTAAAAATCAAAATCAAAGTCAAGATATTAGTTTGTTTCCTCTTGCATTCATTAGTAGTATTTTTATTATCTATTTTGATTTTGTTTTTTTGCGTACTCAAAAAGTGAGTACACTATGGAATCGGTCATTATGTCCGTCCAGCCATATACACGACAACTCTTCAAAGAGTAATCCAATTCTGATGAAATTTTATATATAAAATAGTCTCATCAATATCTTGGTCGAGTTCGAAGATGAGAATGGTTTATCAAGAAATTGCTTAGTTATAGCAAATGATGTCATTTTTTCCAGTGCGTTTCTATGCAAACATTGACTTTTCCCAGTTTTCGTAAAAAACTCTTCTTCTCATAATCAAAAAAAAAATCCCAACTATTATGTACTATTCGACGGAGAATTCCACGAGCTACAAAATGATATATAAAACATTAAGAAACAAAAAGGCTAAGTCATCTATTGAAAAGATTCTTACTTCAGCTGAAACTGATGACAACCGCCTTATAAGTCGATGAACTGCAAGAACAGCATCCGCATATATAGGTCTTGACGATCTTTGTTGGCTTAAATACTGAGACGCAATGCTCAGTCTAGACAGATGAGTCATCATAAGCAGCCAAAACAGATGAATCATCATACCCTGTCTAGACAGATGAGTCATTATAGGCAGTCTAGACATCAAATTTATCTTAGCAAGCTGTTTTTCCTAAAACTCGATTTCTATTGACTACCGTCTTTTAGGCACTTTGATCAAAATCAATCTGTCGTCGATTCTTTTTTTCTTTTTGAAGTACACATAACACTCGGATTTAAATTTGAGATTCTCACATTTATCTTTTTCTCATATAGATAACTATGGTCGATAGTTTTGAGAAAAACTTGAAAAATTTTTTTGTTAAAAATATTGGCTCGAAGAATTAAACCGTTTCCTATAAATTAAACTTCATCGAATAGATACATTATCGTATGGTTGTGTTCAAATAATATAAATGCTGATGAAACAGTATCATATAAAACTATGGAAGAAAAAATTATTATGACCTTTGGTAAATTTTTTACATCAATTTTCAATCCATTTTCTATTCAATGATTAATAAAAATTGTATGATACAACAATAATCATAAAGAAAAAAAAAATTATATTTTAAATCTTTATTTCAATATAGTAGTTATTGCACATATTAATGTAATTGTATTACATATACTGACATTTTCAAAAGATTTTTGAACAAAAATAAACGAACATTTTTACCACATAAAAAAGAAAAACAAAATAAAAAGAGAAAATATATCCATGATTAACAATAATACAAACAATGTAAGGCAATAATTAATGCTAAAATAAAAGCATGATCTTCTCTTATTTGATCATTAATTGAATTAATTACTTCAACATCATATGTATGAGGAATTGCCAAATATTTTTTATTAACAATAGCAATTGTTTTATCATCTTTGTTTTTCAATACGAATGCTTGATCATATACATCAAGTCCTTTAAATTTATATTCGCCATATTTTGAATAAATTTTATAACTATTTTTAAAAAAAGTAAATTTTTGTCTAATAGATGCAACTTGTTGATTTAATTCACCATCACGAGCTGATAAAATATTAAATTGATCAAGGAAACGAAAAGCTTTTTGATGAATTTTTAAAAGAGCACTAAAAAATAAAAGAAAATAATAGCATATATATCAAAACATATTTATATAGTAGTTTTAACTTACTTGCCATTTATATCTTCAAGTATAAGTTTTCTACCGAATGTCCACATTTTTGATCGTATAATATATTTATTATGTCCGAGTTCATCTTTGATTTTAAAACTATTACCAATTGTAAAAAATTTTTCTCGAATTAAATAACGACAATTGTTTCGAGATTCTGGCATATATATTTGAGTGAACGATGTCATCTTCTTACCAAACACAAATATAAATAGAACGACTCAAAAACAAGAAAGAAAAAATGTAGACGTTATAGCGAGACGACCGAACTATTATAAGAAAAAGAAGAAAACAGAAAGAAAGAGGCCGACGTAAAACTACAAATGGTAGAAGTAATTCATGGATCCTTCCATTTTTTTTCTTATATGTACTTTCCTTGTTTTTGATTGGTATGAAACAACAGAAAAGCATTTCCAGTGTTTTCCCAGATATTAGATGGAGTAGCCTAGTAGCATGTTGAATGTCTATTGATGAGATATTTCGTAATACCAACTATGTATCATGTAACCTATTTCATATGATGAGATATTTCGTAATAACAACTATGTGTCATGTAACCTGTTCCATATGATGACTATATTATGAGTTATTATTTTTATTTTCATTAGGTAGACATTCAAGGATGAATGTGATTATATTAAATTTTTTTTTTGATATTGTCAACAGCGATAGTCAAAAAAGTCGAATATATTCTTCGAATATTTTTATTTATAATTAAAAAATAAGCATTACAAGTTTATTTTAAATATCTTATGTAATAATAAATAATGTTCATCTGAATGTTTTTGCCATATTATGAATTGAACATATTGTTAATCATGAATTGGTTCGTCTTTTCAATTCCTAAATAAGTTTTCTTTGACAAGAAAATACAAGAAAATATTCTTGTTCGAAGGAAGAGGATGGATAAGTAAATAATAATCGATAATTATTTACATCAATTGTGAGTAGAGAGTGTTTAAGGTGTATACATGGTACATAGAGAGTAAATCCATATCGCACCATAACCGATATATCATGATACTTATAAAAACCGGTAATATGCCGACAGTGGACTGTCGGTTAAAGAATAACGTGGTAGAGTGGCAATCAGAGGATAACCATGTTGATTACGAGGGCAGAAGCTGCTTTGAAAGGATAAATACTTCAGTTTTTACTATCCATTAATGCGTAATCCAACTAAATATTATTTTTAGACTAAGTTTCAGTAAATTTCTTATTTGGAATATGATTATTTTTACTTTATACTATCAGTAAATAAAAAGATTAACTCGTTGTGTTTCGTTTATTTTTAAAGTTATATTCAACAATTTTAATATTCATCTATATTCAAACTCGAATTACAAAACTTATGATTTACACATCCTATACAAATATTGTTCAAAAGTAATATCTAGTAAAGATATATTTTCATAATCTTTGTTTTTGTTTTTCTTTGAAATCTATTATATTAGTTACATAGACATACATGTATTTATTGCGTTGAATAAATTCTCTCTCATTAGTAAATAACAAAACGACAATACTACTAATACAAATGATATCTGTCAATAAGTGATGGTGCATGATTATCTCTATCAAGATAACTTAGCAAATAATCAAGTTGAATTTGTGATAAAATTATTAGAGGATGTCGAGTAATTTGCATAAATCGTTCATCAGAATAAGCATCATAAAATGTTGGTATTGGTGGTGTTGATGATTGAGAATGAAAATAATCTCTTAATTTGAAAAGAATTGGTGCAGGTGGAGGTGGTGGTGGTGGAAGAGAAAGAGCAGGAGGTAATGATGATATTTGAGAAGGTGTTGTTGATGCTGGTGGTGTTGGAGAACATTCCATAAAACGAAGATCTTCTTCTGGTTCTGTTGTTGGCATTGGAAGTGATACAGGTAATGGTATAGTAACAATTGGTTTTTTTGATGATCGTTTCCATAAATTAGCCATTTGTTCAGCAGTTAAATAATCATGATCAAGTATAATTGTTGTATAATCTAATTTTGGTTTATGTTTTTTAACTTGTGGTACAGTTATAATCATATCACTTGATCCATCTTCCCAACCTTTTGGTGGTGCATGTTTACGTTTTTTTGTTAATAATAATAAATCTTCTTCTTTTGGTGTTGCTGGTAATGGTACATTAGCAGCAATTAATTCAGTATAAATTAATCTTGCATCATTTAATGTTGTACAAAAACATGAACGTGATGTACTTGCTTGTCGATTATTACGCATTAAAAAATCACGTACAAATTCAGGACACATTACAATTGGACATTGTAATAATTTAGCATAATGTTTTATTGTTGATAATGGTAAATTATTTAATAAATTTTTTGATAAATCAACAAGACGTATATGTTCAATTTCATTAATAAATAATGATGGTACAGATATATTATTTATTATTGATGATGATATAAGACGATTATGTGTAAGTGATGAACGTTGTCGTGGAAGATCAAGATGAGATTCATCAAATGATGGTATATGAAGATTTGATTCAATTAAACCAGCTTTTAAATTAGCAAGAATATCATTTATATTTGGTGTAGGACGTGGATCAAGATCAGTAACAAATGAATTAAGATCATTGTCAGTTGATATTGGAGATGAATGTGTTGTCATAGGTAAAAGTTTTGAAAGAATTGATAATTTAGCTGCATTATTCATATCATCTATGAAACAAAACAAAACAAAACAATAAATATCATCTTTTAAATAAAAGAATATTATTTTTTTGTCTTTACTAGGTTTATTATTAACAGATGAAAAAGCATCAAGTTCATCATTTGTTACTGATGAAAAATCATGAAGTAAACGTTCATATTCATGTTGAGAATTAAATCGTCTATATGAAGGTAATCTTGGTGGTGATGAAAGAATATCATAGTCTGACATATCAAAACTATTAACGGCTTGATCAATAACTGTTGATGAATATCTTCTATCATATTGATATTGTTCAATATAAAGTTGATCATAACATTGCCAAAAAGCAATTATATCTCGAAATGATAAATGTTTTGGTTGTTGTGAATAAGATAAACTATAAACAACAAAAATATATATATTAATAATTCAAAAAATAAAAATTTACGATTTAATTTCATCATTTGAACGATTTATTGATGTTGGTTTTGGTGGTAATCTTGGTACACTGTCACATATTTGACTAAGCATACTAAGATTATCTAATTCAACAAGTAATTCTCCTGCACTATCAGCCCATTCATCAACTGATGATGAAACACCACCGGATGTTGGACTTTGATTACCGAGAAGTAATGTAGCCAATGTATCTCGATCAAATAATGAATTAGGTGAAAATTTCATATTATTAGGGTTATTATTATTATTATTATTATTATTTGGATGATGGCCATTGCCATTAGGATCAGATCCATCTATTAGCAAAGAATCCATCTTCAATATAAAAACAAACAAAAAAATATAATTTTTATTATTTTTTATCTTTTAATAGAAAAGATAATGTTATGCTTGAATAAATTTTTTTTTTCTGTTTACAAAAGCTACATCGCACCATTTTGTACATTCAAAAGAATAAAAAAAAATTAATTAATTAATTAATTAATTAAACTTTAAAATTTCTTAATGCTTGAAATAGATCACGTATAGCATCAAAAACAGAATAACGTTGATTTATTTGATGATTCATCCATTCTTGATGTCGTTGATCTAATTCTTGTTGATAAATCGATGCTAATTCTTCTTCACTCGGTGGTAAGTCAATTTTTAATGGATCAAGTGCAACAATTTTTGCAATCTCTTGATCAGCATTATAATGTACCTAGAAATCAATTGAAATAATGGATGACTGGAAAATTTTAAAGCATGATATTAGTTTATTTTTCGAATCAAAATCTATGATTTTGTACCTTTTTTTTTGGAATATGAACTTAGAAATTGTGTCTCACAAGGAAACGTTTTCTACTAATCAATCATAGACCTTCTATTCAAATTTAAAGGGTTCTTACTAGAATTTTAGTCTCTGACTGGTATAAACCAAAACATCGAATGATGGTATTTCAACCTGAGATTTTGCTCACAGACAGGTCTATTGATTAGTAGAATATTCTGAAAATTTTAGCTCTAAAGAATATCTCCATCTCGAGATAGTAAAGTTCCAAAGAAAATAGAAAATTCTCGCATCTTTTATGGAATATGAGTGATTTTCGCGATTTTAATATCTCGAGAAAGAAACATTCTTCTAAGCTAAAATTTTCAGAGCATTCGACTAATCAATAGATCTGTCTATGGGCGAAATCTTAGTTCGAAATGTCATCATTCAATTTGTTGGCATATATCAAGCCAGAGAGTAAAATTCTAATAGAATGCCTATAACTCTGAACAGAAGACCTAAGAAGACTTATTCTTTTGAGGTTTTTCATATCTCACTGGTGTCTACCTGGTGCACAGAGTCTAAATTCAAAAGCAATTGATCAGTTGCAAACGTTCTCTCGTAAGATAAAATATTTGAAACGAAAGCATTCTAACTTATAGCTTTTGGACTCGTCAAAAATCTTGTCTAAAAACATTCTGATCATTCGTTATGTATGTAATATTTCGATGAAATAGTTAATTTATACCTGTTGTCTCCAAAGCATAGGAACAATAAGATTGAGTTTATTAATATTAACATTAACTTCAGCAATATTAATACGAAATTTTTCTACAGCTTGTTTCCATTTAATATTATCTATTAAATATGTTTTCTGTTCATCATTCAATTGTAAATTTTCTGAAGCAATTTTTTTAAAAACACGTTTTAAATTTGTACGTGCTTCTTCAATAGATTCTCGAATTTGTTTTTCAATTTGAATCCATTCAGGCATATAACCTAAAATATTGACAACAAGAAAAAAAGACATTCTAATTCAATTCTAATTTTTATTATTTGACCATTATCAATAAGAATTTCATTAATTTTATATGTTGTAAAATCTACATAATGTGGATTACGATCATGAAATGGTTTTCCACTTGATTTAATATTATTAAAATCTCCACGTGACATTGATTCTTGAATAAGATCTTCAACAAGACGATCAATAAAATTTCTATAAGAAAAAAAAAAATTTTTTTTCACATTTATTTTATTGTTTAAAAAAATTAAAAATTTACGTTGCTCTAACATCTTTTCTT